ATTTTTGATTTTGCGCGCTGAATTTCTATAATAATAAGAAAAAACAAGACTTGAGTTACTTTTCCGATTGTATTGGTTAGAGATGCGGTAGAGGGTCATTGTAGTTGTTTTTCATATAAGTTTTTCTTTATTTTACTAATAAAATATGAATAAATTTCACTTCTAGTCCTACGAGTTTTAGGTCAATTCCACATTTAGTCCACACATTTCACTTTGTCCACTTTTGCTACATGACTATTGTATTTTCGCTCATATACGTTCCTTTCGTCAATGTTTCCTATGGTTAAAATCACCAGAAAAGGACCACAAACGGTTAAAAAACATTAGTGAAGCACAAAAAGTGCACAAAGTGAAAGACGTGGATTAAATGTGAAATTGACACAAAACTCGTGGGACCCAATTAATCCAGAGCACAAAATGCAATTAATGACATTTGTTGATTTAAGCTTTTATATAAGTTTTTTTCTGAAATAAAATATGGATAAACCATCTAGGATCTCGAAAATTCTCCCCCTCCATATAGGAATAGAGTGATTGAATGAGGAGATTAGAGCTGAAAGCCTGAAACCCTAACGGCTTTAATACGGAGTAATTAACAGACACATCTACTGCAAGCCTGTAATGACGTACTACTAGTATTAATTAATCTCTACAACAACTAATTACGCCTAAGCTATTAAAATTACAGCAGTAAATTCAATTCAGAAGAACAATTACTGCTCGTAATCGATGAATTAAGGAAGGACAGGCAGGTCGTGAAAGACCGATTCATGGCAGGGCAAAACGATGCCTTCCGGAGACTGAAAGTCAAACTCTTCAGCAGCTTCGTCCAGCAATTTCTGGAAACTGGCGTTCCTCAAATACATCGTCGGAACGACGTATCTCTTCCGCTCTTCTCCGACGTAAACCACGAAATGCCCCTTCGGAGCTGTTCCGTTTCCGTTGGCGGCGATCCTCGATACTCCGGTCATCGTCGTCTCAAATCAATCGGTAAGAAACAGTTGATTTAATTTGATGGATATGTATTGTGTTTGTAGATTTCAGATTTATTATCTCACTTCATCTCTGTGGCGCGTATATATATAGTCCATGATGAGCAGTGGATACAGCAGAAAATATTGACAATGGTGGACGAAATAATACTCCATCGCTTAGCTTTAGCACATGGCAGACCCGTAGAGTCGTTTTCAGATTTCTGTAGTTCAGTTTTTGCACCCCTCTTTTCCCCAAAAGCCACAAGAAAAAAGATCTCATGAATTTCAGCCAGGAAATCACAGTTTGCATATTTTATTGGAAAAATCACCAACCACTAAAACATTAGATTTTATTTGAAAATTACTCTCTTCGTTCCTAAATAAATTTTACATTTTCCTTTTTTGTAGGTCCAAAATAAACTTCACACTTCTTCTCTCTTCCTCATTTGACAAATTATCTACATCAAAACTGTGCAAAACAGTGTCAAACTGTGACAAACAGTGTCACAACAGTGTATAAAGTTAAATTTATTTCTTTAATTTGTATGAAGTCGAAGTGTGAAGTTTATTTAGGACTAAAACATTAGATTGATAAGTCTATAGAGTTTTTAGTACACTAATAATGACTACGTATGAGTATATCATATCTAATCAATTCCTTTCAAAAAACAAATCTAATCAATTTTAGTTGGACTTTTATCAATTTTTAATTTTGATTCCGCTTGAAACACATTGGAAGAACGGTCACTAAATAAAAAATCAAACGTAATGAAAATCAATATTTCAATATTTCACTTTGATTCAATTTGTTTTTTTTAATAACATATGATTATTTATTGATTTTTAGTTTGATTCGGTGTTGTCAATCCCGGATAGCTGAGCGTAGCGGCCAGTCCTGAAAATGCTATTTACAGTTATTTTCTTTATGTGTATTATATAATCATTATTATGTATATATGTCCCGTTGCTGTCGACCTCTTACATATGTTGAATAATAATTTATGTTCATGTATCTTATATAAATATGACTAAATTAAATTGAAAAGACAAATACGTAGTATTTTATTATAATGATATTTACTAGCCTTGGGCAAGGTTTTAATAGAAAAATAGTAGGGTAAATGTAGAGTGTGTAGGGTAAATGATAAAGTAGGAAAGAAAGTATATTAAAAAGAGTAAAGTGATGATAAGTGATCATAAAGTGATCATAAGTGATCAGAAAGTATATTAAGTAGAGTCAGAGGTGGATCTATGAATGAAGAGTGGGGTGAGCTAAGAGAAAAAATGTTACTGCAGACAAAAGGTTTAGCTTAGGGCTGTTATCGAACAGAGTTTTTTTCGAACTTCTCGAGTTCGAGCGTGCTTTCAAATTTAATTTAACGACCTGAGCTTAACGAGCTTTTTCTAACTTGAACACGAGCTACATTTTGAGTTCGAATAGTTATTCGAGCAGAGTTCGAGCATAGTGATATTCGGTTCAATGCAGACTCGAGCCCGTCGATAACTCATAAATTATACTCCCTCCGTCCCTAAAAGGATTGCCAAGTTTGACCGGTACGTAGAATAATAAAGTAAAAACTGTGTGGTAGAGATTTGTGCAGAGGAGAGAGAAATATCAGGAACCACAAATTGATTGACTAAAAGGGAAAGTGACAAAGTTTTTTGGACAACCAAAAAGGAAAGTTGGCAAAATTATAAGGAACGGAGGGAGTAGGAATAAATTTTATTTATCTTAAAATTTAAACATTTTTAGTGCAATTTATAAATCTATTTAAACACTAATAAAGGAGAACCAACACTAAAAATTTAAACATTTTTAGTGCAATTTATAATAATAATAATAATAACAATAATAATAATAATGGTAATAATAATAATAATAATTTTAATAATAATAGAAACAGTATATGACCAAATAAGGATAGTGAATAAAAAGTGACGTAGTTATTTTAATGATTATAATTATGTTTAAATTTTACAATTAGAATTCTTATAAAAGTTACTCATAGTGACTTGGGTCAAAAAAGTATCCTTATTCAATGTTAGTAATATTTTAGGAAAAAACTCATGATAATAATAGAAGTAATAATAATAGTAGTATTAATATTAATATAATAATAACAGTAATATAATAATATAATATTAATCATAAAATTAATGTTTAGCATAATCTTGTTGTAAAATAATGTTGTAAACTTGTAATATAAAGTGTTATAAATTTCAAGGCCCATTCTTGGTGTACACAAGATGTACACAAAATATGTACATTGTCTGTACATTGTCTACACATGCAATTAGGAAGGTTTTGGTATTAAATCATGCCATTTTTTAAACGAATCGCATATGTACACAGACAACTAGATTTTGTGTAGACTTTGTGTACAACTCATGTACACCAAGATTTTTTCAAATTTCAAAAGAGTACAAAATTGATGGTGTGAGTGTGTGGGTGAGATAGGATTGCATAATTTGCAACATTAGCTATATAATGTGTATGTAAAGTCTTGCTCTTCTCAATTTTTCCCACTCTCGGCTGAAGAAGATGTTCCCCCTCCTGAGTGCCATATAAATAAACCATTCCTTGTTGTAATTGAAGTAGTCAACGTTTAGTTAAGTTGTCATTAGCCCATAGCTTGATTGTTAAGCACTGAGACCATTTGTTGTCTTGGCTACGGGCTTTATAAGTTTGGGCCGCCTTTTGTCATGAGGTTATGACTGATGCCTTGGACCTGAACGTTAAATCTCTTTCTATACTATTAAGAAAAAAATGGGTTGGGTTGGGCTGAAGCCCACTCCCGCCCCTGCATAGATCCGCATAGATCCGCTCCTGAGTAGAGTAAAGTTATGATAAAGTAAGAAAGAGAGTATTTTGTAAAAAGTAAGAAGGGTAAAAGTAAAAAAAATGGGAGTATTTTATTAAAAACTTTCCTAAAATAGAAAGAGAGACAAATAATAAAAAATGTCCAAAAAAGGAACGCGAGATAGTTAATAAAGAATGAAGGGAGTATATTGTAATAAATTCTAAAATTTTGGTATATATATTTGTGTGTGTTTGTTTGTGTGTGTGTGTGTGTGTGTGTGGCCAACTCATTTTGAGGTGGTTTTCGATGATATTTTTTGCTCAAATATTTTTGAACATGTTTCTCATAAAGTGTAGATGGTCTCCACCAAATTTGAGCAAAAAATTCAATCGGGTGGCATTCAAATGATTTTTAAAAAATAACTGTGTTTTATACTCCGTATGGATATTTTGGCGTAATTATCTTCCAAAAATCTTTTCATTGCTTTCCTGATTGAATTTTTTGCTCAAATGTGATGGAGATCATCTACACTTCATGAGTAACATGCTCAAAATATTTGAGCAAAAATTATCACCAGACCATCCACCTCCCCGGCCCGGTCGGAAAGGAATTGTATAATATAAATTATTTTTAACTTATAGACTAAAAACTGGAACTTTTAACCAATAAATCATAACTTATAGGCCCCTCAAAAATAATTACGAATATATATATATATATATACATTCTCCTGTCCAGCAACCTTCCGCCTGAATGCCGTCCGAACACCGCCGTTTGGGGAGATTCCCGGTGGAATTTTTTGTTGAATTTTTTTTGAGCATGTTCCTCATCAAGTCTAGTTTATCTATACCAAAGTTCAGCTTAAAATTCGATCGGGAAGGCAGTCAAATAATTTGTTGAAGTTAACTGCGCAAAATTGTACATAGAAAAATGCAGTCAACATCAAAAAATGATTTGAATGCCTTCCGGAACGAATTTTGAGCTGAAATTTTTTGTGGATAAACTAGATTTGATGAACAACATACCATAAAAATTTCATCAAAAAATTCGACCGGGAACCGCACCAAACGGCGGTGTTCGGACGGCATTCGGACCGGGGGCTGCTGGACCTGAGAATTTCTCTTTCTCTCTATCTCTATATATATACATATATATATTACTCCAGGGGGGGTCTGGGGGAGGGGGGCCTGGAGTAAACAGGGCTGAAACTCATTCCATTGTGTCAGGTTTTCACCTCTCCAGCTCAGACCACGCTCATACAGCACACACACCAAAGCACCACCGGAAGGGACAAGAACACTCAGGCCAGCCCAGCCATCTCAACGCACGCCAAAGGTCAGAAAAGGGGAAGCACAGAGAGAAGACCACAGAGGGACCAGAATGGAGAAGAGACTGGAGTCTCTCTCACTATTCTCTCTTAACCTCACTCTCTCTCTAACCGAAGACCTCAGCGTCAACCAAAGACGAAGAGGGGCTTAAGTACCCCGGCAAGTGGGGAAGCCCTAAAGGAGGGTTCCAGAAACAAGGCTAGCGGCAGAACAACTTGGGCCAGGGCAAGAGGCAAGCAAACAGGCCCAACAATACCTCCACACTCTCCACCTTATTGGCCATCATTGGTGGTGCATGGTATCACAAAGTAACATGAGCACGTGGTTCATCATCGCTGGGTCACCAGTGATATCCTAAAGACATAACTGGCAAACAAATTGGAGATACACAAAATACTCCCAAAAGGAAATTAGAGAAGTACCCAAAGTACTCTCCCTAACCATGAGAGCAGATTTTCTCAAGCACTATGCTTTCAAGAATCTACCCTCCAACATACCCAAAACCTGCAAACCGAGTTAATCGCAGTCCAAATTTAAAATTCGTTTACAAGACAAAAGTTTTTCAGCAGATAGACACTTCGTCCCCATATCTGCAGGGTTGAACTTTGGGGGTATCTTGCACAGCTTCACCTTACCTGCATCTAAAACATCACGAATAAAGTGGAACCTCACATCAATGTGTTTGGTCCTATCATGAAAAACAGGGTTTTTGCAAAGCCGGATAGCAGACTGGCTATCAGAAAACACAGTAACATCCTGTTTAAGAAAACCTATTTCAGCAACAAGACGACTTAACCATATGGCTTCCTTGAAGGCTTCTGGAGCTGCAACATACTCAGCTTCAGTGGTTGATAAGGCAACAATTGATTGTAACTGAGATTTCCAACTAATACACGAACCACACAAAGTGAACACATAGGAAGTGGTAGATTTCCTATTGTCTTTATCATTATCATAGTTAGAGTCAACATAACCACTCAGTTTCACACCTTCAGTACACTTAGTAAAAATCAAACCATGATTTGCAGAAAATTTCAAGTATCTCAAAAGCCATTTCAAAGCATTCCAATGAGGCATACCAGGATTAGACATAAACCTACTCAAACAACTCACAACATAGGCAATATCAGGTCTAGAACTAACCATCAGATACATCACAGAACCTATAGCATTAGAGTAAGGAACAAACTTCATAAGCTCAATTTCAGAAGCAGTCTTAGGAGACTGATTCTTACTTAGCACAAAATGAGAGGCAAGAGGAACATGCACAGGTGCAGCAGAAGACATATTAAACTTACTCAAAACCTTCTCAACATACGAAATCTGATTTAGAACAAGAGTATGTTTGCTCCTGTCCCTAATAATGTTAATCCCAAGTATCCTCTTGGCATCACCAAGATCTTTCATAGCAAAGTTCTCACAAAGACATTTTTGAACAGACATAATAGATTTAAGACAAAGACTAATAATCAACATGTCATCTACATAGATTAACAAGAACACAAGAACATAATTAGTATTCTTGAAATACAGACAATGATCACAGGCAGATTTCACAAATTTCATAGACTGCATACACTTGTCAAACCTAATATTCCACTGTCTAGGGGATTGCTTCAGGCCATACAAGGCCTTCCTAAGCAGACAGACATGGTCACTCCACTTGAGATCCACAAAGCCCTCAGGTTGAGTCATGTAAATTTTCTTATCCAATTCACCATGCAGAAATGCAGTGGTGACATCCATTTGTTTCATCTCCCAGTCATGGTGAGCAACCAAAGCCAACATGATTCTAACAGTAGTAAACTTAATTACACGAGCAAAGATTTCAGCACAATCTACCCCCTCTTTTTGAGTAAACCCATTGGCAACTAACCTGACCTTATACCTAATGTTATTACCCGGTTCTTCCTTGACCTTAAACAGCCACTTGCACTCAACCACTGAGCTGACATTAGGTCTAGGAATAAGGGTCCAAGTCTAGTTCACTCTTAGAGAGTCCATCTCACTTTTCATGGCCTCAAGCCATCTCTGAGACTCTCTGGACCTTATAGCTTCACTATAGGTCTTAGGTTCATTTAGGTCTAGGGCCTCAAACACAGTAAAAGCAAAATCAGATATATCACACACAGTAAAAGCATAATCAGACAAAGTATCGGATTTTCTCTTAATGGTTCTTCTACCACTATCCCTAACAAGTTGGTAGTCATGCAAATCAACATTATCATCCTCAGCAGAATCATCAAACACATTGGTTTCACCAGACAGAGAATCATTTTGCACATGGTCATCTTGAGTATTGAACTCCACCTCACTGGAGGTAGCAGCATCAGCAGAAGTATTAACATGCATATCAGAAGTGATGACAGGAACAACAGGAGGAGTGTCATACATAACAAAAGGAATAATAGATACAGAAGGAGCCTGAGGTTCCACCTCAACAGGTGTCCTCTCAGGTTCATGCTCAGAAACAGGTTTAAGCAAACAAGGGAAATCAAATTCATTAAAAATTACATCCCTACTTATAACCACCTTAAAACCAGGCACACTTCTATCCCACAACCTATATCCCTTTACCCCATCAGGATAACCCAAGAAAACACACTTTTTGGATCTAGGATCTAACTTGTCAGTTTTCTAATGAACATAGGCAGCACACCCAAAGACCCTAAGGTTTGTTAGGTCAAGAGGCCCACCAGTAAACTTAACTTCAGGGCATTGACCCCCTATGGGAACAGAGGGAGATCTATTAATCAGATAGGTGGCAGTGGTGACTGCTTCACCCCAAAACTTCTTAGGTAAACCTAAGGTAGACAACATACTTCTAACCTTGTCAAGAAGGGTTCTATTCATCCTTTCAGCCACCCCATTCTGTTGGGGGGTGTAGGGCACAGTCTTATGTCTCCTAATGCCTGAAGTGGCACACAGTTGGTCAAGCTCTTGGTTACAGAACTCTAGGCCATTATCAGTCCTAAGGGTCTTAACATTCTGTCCAGTTTGATTTTCTACAAGTAACTTCGAGGCTTTAAACTTCTCACAAACACCAGACTTATGTTCTAGAAGATAAACTCACACTTTCCTAGAGAAATCATCAATTAAGGACAAGAAATACTGTTCCCCCCATGTGTGGGAACACTGGCAGGACCCTAAACATCAGCATGCACATATTCAAGTACAGATGAGCACTTAGTCGTATTAGGATAAGAGGATAGAGGGAACTGGACTCTATGTTGTTTACCAAGCACACATGATTCACAGAAAGTCAAAGAGTTCACAGAGTCTTTACCGAAGTAACCATGTTTATGCATGATCCCTAAACCTTTATTACTCATATGCCCTAGTTTATTATGTCACAACAAGGTTTTATCAGTATGCACAACATTCACAGCATTCACAGAGTCAATATAAGGTTTAGCATGACACACATAAAGGTTGTTCACCTTCTCAGCTTTAAACAACACCAGAGAATTTTTCAAAATTTTCATACTATTTTTAGCTTGGGCATCCTGTTTCTGATTCTTAGACCTACTCTTAGATCTACCCCTCACAAACATAGCCTCACCCGAATCCTTAGATTGACTAGAGATACTCCTATTATGTTTAAGGTCAAGCTCTTTACTCTTAAGGCCATTCACAACAATATCAAGAGTGACATCATCTCTACCATATTTAATAGCAGATTTAACATCATTATAAGAATCAGGAATAGCATTAAGCAACACAACAACAATATAATCATCAATATGTTTATCACCAGATTGTTTAATGTTCTGGATCAACTTATTAAAAATATCCAAGTTTTCATCAATGTCTTTGGTTAGGTCTAGCTTAAACCAAAAGAATTTTTCAAGCAAAAACAGTTTACCAGGCAGAGAGGTATCAGTGTAAAGCTCATCTAACTTATCCCACAACTTTTTAGCAGAATCTAAAATACCAACCTTTCTAAGCACAGAGTCAGATAGGTTAAGATATATAGTAGAGCAGGCAGTTTCATTCATTTCAGCTTCTTAGCACTATCATCAGAATCCAAATAAAGTTCACTTACAACTCTGAAAATCTTTTGCTGGATTAAAACACATTTGATCTTTTGTTTCCAAATGTCAAAATCAGTTTTCCCATTAAAAGGTAACATACCATACATATTGACAGACATAGGAGCAGACATAATGATGAACACAATAAGGATAACACTGAAGAATCAGTGGCAGAAGACAAGGTAAATGAACGATAGCAAACAGAGAGACAGAGAACCAAGGAGCTAGGGTTCACCAGTGTACCCGGCTGCGGGCTGACAGGCCACACAGATCCGAAGGCCACTAGAGTGGCTGCCAGGGAACCTGTCGGTCCTAACCTCAGGTGCCGAGTCACAGAGGCAGAAATCCCATTTCAAAAGGGTACCAAGTAAGCACAAAAGGGCAGTAAAGCAGATATAAACACGCAAAGGAGACAGAAACACGGAATACCAGTTCAAAACCTCAATCCCGCAAACACAAAACACTCATGCAGACCAACTTCACACACGAAGGTAAAGAGAACGCACCTGGGAAACGTCAGTTACAATTGACAGCCAGACCAACACGGTCAGCAGCAAGATCAAAGCGGGGAAAGGGATGAAGCAAGTAAAAAACACCAAGAAACACACACAACCGGAGGCACCCGGCTACCTAGGGTGTTTATCGCCAATTTACCTGAGCGAGAACCCGATGATGGGCTTCTCGACTTACCATTGAAACGGAGATCTGCGGCGGATGGCGGCGGCGGAGCTCCCGGACTGTAGACGAGGACGACAGGAGTTCCGGCTCTGATACCACTGTCAGGTTTTCACCTCTCCAGCTCAGACCACGCTCATACAGCACACACACCAAAGCACCACCGGAAGGGACAAGAACACTCAGGCCAGCCCAGCCCTCTCAACGCACGCCAAAGGTCAGAAAAGGGGAAGCACATAGAGAAGACCACAGAGGGACCTGAATGGAGAAAAGACTGGAGTCTCTCTCACTATTCTCTCTTAACCTCACTCTCTCTCTAACCGAAGACCTTAGCGTCAACCAAAGACGAAGAGGGGCTTAAGTACCCGGGCAAGTGGGGAAGCCCTAAAGGAGGGTTCCAGAAACAAGGCTAGCGGCAGAACAAATTGGGCCAGGGCAAGAGGCAAGCAAACAGGCCCAACAAAGTAGAAGAGGGCTGCCTTGGCCCGTGGGGCCAATACCTCCACACATTGAGTTTCAAACCCTTTATGTGCCTAGCGAGTTTCGAACTCGGGACCTCCCACTAGGCACAGTAACCTTGCAACCAGCTGAGCTGGAATGCTTGTTTATATATATACAAACCCTCTTCTACTTTGTTGGGCCTGTTTGCTTGCCTCTTGCCCTGGCCCAATTTGTTCTGCCAGTAAGCGGTCTTAGGAGAGAAATGAGAACGAATTTGGACCGTTTGATTAAATTATGTGGAACTGAATTGTGCATTTGGTGAAACCGAAATGTGCATTAGATGATATTGAAATTTGCAGAATTAAAATTTAAACTCACATGTGCATTAGGTGAAACTGAAATGTGCTGAATAAAAGGTACAAAAATGACATCACATCGTACCTTTTATTCTGCACATTTTAGTTCATCTAGTGCACATTTCAAATTCACCTAATGTCACTACATTGTATCATTTGTGCTGCACATTTCAATTTCACCTAATACACATTACAGTTTCATCTAATGCACATTGAATTTCATATAAAGCAAATCTAACGGTCCAGATTCATTCTCATTTTTCTCATAAGATCATGTTCTTATTTGAACCAAAACCTATATATATATATATGTATATATATGTATATATGTATATATATATGTATATATGTATATATATATATGTATATATGTATATAT